TTTTTTTGGTGTTTGTTTGTGGGTAAGAATGGCTTCGATGTGTAAGTTCACGTGCCAATTTTTGAGAACCCTGATCAGCTGATAATTTATGAGAGTTTTAATTTTTTTTTATTCTTACTTGAATTCTTGTAATTTTATAAATGTAAAAAACGATATATCCATGTATAGATATATTTGTGATATCGCAAGTTAATGTGCCACTTTGTTGTTCGAAATGAGCCTTTGTTTATTATAAAACCTAAGGTCTTCTTGAAAACATATTCTGTAAGGACTTTTACAGCCTTGTTGCTGCTTGATCTTTTTCCGGAGACCATTCGATAAAAATGCGCCACCGTTGGCAAAATAACTCCTTAAAGAATCATCTAGTTTTAGTTAAAACCTTAACCAATAACTTGGATGAAGGAAAAATCTCAAAATTGGATTTTTGGCAGACATTCTTACAAAAAAACAATAAAAATTTCAGTGAAAATTTCGCGCCTGTTTAGTTTTCAAATTGTTCCTCGAAGTCTTTAGGAATTGTATCTCAAAGCTGGTGTAAATATTCATGAAGATCGGATAAGTAATTCTCGAGAAATTTTGCCAACCGACTTCAAATACACATTTTCCAGAAAAAACGCGTTTAAAGACGGGCGCAGTTAGCCTTAGCCCAGCTAGCCTTGTGTTCTCAAGGCTGTATCTCCGAAGCTTTTATTCAGATCAACTTGCAATTTTAGGATATTTTCTAGAGATATCGTCGAATTTAATACAACAATAAAAAATTTGATATTTTTAAATCTATGTAATCCCTTAAGGGGTTAGGGGTAGTCAGACTTTCCAAAAAAATATTTTTTGTTTGGCATATTCGTTAATTGTAGTAACTTAAAAATATTCTCTGAAAATTTCACGTGGATCCGATAATTAGCTTATGAGCTTTTTGACAAATAACAAAGAGAGCTCGATCACTTCAAAGCGCTAGTGTGAAACTTTAAACGCGTTGTTCTCAAAACTGTGTTTATTGAACTGGTGACAACTGTAACTCGAAAAACGCTAAGTAGATTTTATTGAAATTTATACAGCTTTGAGAATACATAATAAACTCGGGAATGATCGAAAGATTTGTTTTTTTTTTAAATTTCGTTTTTTAAGACCAATTAACTGTTGATTTTTTCGCAAAAATTTAGAAAAAAATTTCATGAGTCCGCTATTTTGTTCATTTCGAAAAAGAATCCTTCGATCAGGCCCAGAATTATCTATTTATAAAACAATTTTTTTTTTGGTCCGATTGATTTTAGATGAGTCTCCACTATAACTTTGGAAATTAAATTGTTTTTTATTTGCAATTTTCGTGACTTCAACACACTCTATAATAATGCCATATTACTACTTTTGTAAAACAACACGATTTAATAGCAAAAAAAAAAAAAAAAAAACTGAAAATTCGCATTTTTTCGTGCCTCTGACTACCCGTGACCCCTTAATATAATATACTCTGAGCCAGCTTAAAAACCTGATTGTCTATACATTTTCACAAAACATCCCAGTTTCTTTATAAATTGAAGTGGGGTTTCTGAAATGGCGGCGATCACAAGTTAGAAGGCTTATCAACTAAAAACAAACCAACAACTTTGATACGACACAGACTCAAAGGTACTTCAGAATTTGTCTAGTTTCCAAGTACAATATCTTGAGATGCTTAATCTCAAGCTACTTTGGAAATATAGTCATATCTGTCGATTGAGTGGAGTATTAGTAGTTCTCAGTACTTTGTTGATTCCTAATCTAAAAATGCTGCCACATAGGGGGTATATGAGTAATATTAAGGTATATTATATTACCAGCTTCTATAGGACGCCAAGAGTTCTTATTTTCTACTTATCAGATCAGGAAGTACGTATTGTTAATCGCAACTAACCTAGCAATATAGACTAGCTATTTAAGAGCTTGTCTGTGACCTCATTAATAATTTAATATCTCCTTTACTCACATTTTCTTTAGATTTTACAGAGTCTGAGCCAGTTCTTGGTAAAAATTTGTGTGAAGACAAATTTGAACAGGAAAAGTTTTCGCGATGGGTTAAAATCCTTGAACATAGACACAATATTTGAGGTAGCAGCATTTAGAGATTTTCACTAAGAAAACTTAAATTATAAAACAATTGAAGTCAAATTACAGAGTCCTTGGCCTTTAGAGCCAATATCTGTGAACTGTGCGCCAGGTGGATGGTTTTTAAGTGGGCTCTACTGCGATCAGAAACAGAAAAGAACGTTTCAGTGCTCCTGTTCGAAACCGTTAGAAATGCTGAAGCACAGTACTAACTATCTTCCTTTAGTATTATCTTACAATTTCTGCTGTTGTCAGCTGGTAAAGTTCTCACTCTCAAATCCGTCATGACATATGCAATGATAAATTAAATATAACAGCAGCTGCTTGCATGATAAAAAAGTGATTTATTAAATGATTAGCGGAGATATGATTCCACAATTTCATATGCACATGTAAATATGTATACATATGTATGCATCTATGTGTGTACATCAGTGCATAAAATGTGTAGATTGTTATATTTATCATATCTCCTGGCACTTAATAGCAGCCATTTTACATTTCTAGTGCTTCTTCCGTTATATTTTTAGTAAAATCAGTGCACGCAGACAGAAGACTGCTATACCACGCAACTTGCCACAATAAAGTATATTTCCATTGTAGTTAAATAAAATATGTTCTATGCAAATTTATTTGGGTATATAAGTAAGTTGTAGAAAATCCTACAAAGAGCCGCCTCGACATGTGTTTGTGTTACTTATGTTAACTTACAACAAAATTGCAGCAGCGGCAGCAGCCGAAAATGGCGTTGATGGGCAACAAACAGCAGCTAGTGAAGTTGCACATGCGTTAGGCGCATATGTATATGTTTTATGTGTATGTTTGTATATGAATGTGTTGATATTAGGGTATTCGTTAGTTGCCAAGTTGAAATTTTTTAGTTTTTTCTACACAAAGGAAATCACAAGTTTGAAAAGCAACAGGCTTAGTTTTTTCGATATAGCATTCGCTTTTTTTTGTTTTTTTTTTGTTATGTATGAAGCAGGTCAATCTACAACTCTGAAAAATGATTTTTTAGCATAAAATTTTCCGCGCTACAAAAAAGATATTAATAATTTTTTCCATGAAAACATTCCTTCAAAAGTTATACGCTGTTGAAATCATACATCAAGTACGCTGGCATTCATACAAGTGATTTACACTACATTTTGTGTTACTCATACGACATGGCGTACCATATGAGTTTAGTATAGTATATTTGAAGCATAACTTGAACAGCGTTAACTTTTGAAGGAATGCATTTATGAAAAAAATTATGCATACCTTTTTTGTAGAGTAGAATTTTTTCTGTTAGAATATCAAACTTACAAACTGGTAGGTCTTACTGTTTTGGCGAAAAAATTTTTGTTTTTTTTTTTTTTCAAAAGATCGAACAATCCAATATGAAACATATGGAACAAATAGAATGATTTAGGCATGGTTCTAATCAAATATTATATAAAGACCTTCGTTGCATTGAATATATTATTTTAGAACAAAAACTATAATTATCAGGTCCGTTTCCAAAAAAACAAAAAAACAAAAAAAAAAAAAAAATAATAATAATAATAATAAACTTGGAAACTAACGAAGACCCTAATATACATACATACATGTATATAGTAGTATTCACTGCACACTGTAGTGGCAAAGTCGACGCGACGGCTTTATCAAGCACTAGAACGTCACGCTTCGTTTCATATGCATTTGACTGTGCGGCAAGGTACGTGAGCGAATTCTATATCCGCTACTTATGCACTTCGCCGTGTATGTATATGTGTGTCTACAAATTCATGCACGCCACACCAAGTGTATTTATGCAATGCTGAATATTTTTGCTCCTGCTCATAATATATATACATATATATACTTGGGAATTAAATTTGCATGCGTGTGTGTTGTAGCACGCTTTTGTTGCCACATATACTCAAGCTGCGCCCCGAGTACTCAGATGCGGTTGCACAACACACACCAACTTTCAATGTGCTTGTGCTTGTATGGTTGGCAAATAGCGTTGCATATTTTTATTTATTAAATATATATACACAAATATATATATATATGTTTATGTACTCTTGCCACATTCGTGCGGCACTTGCAATTCATACGCCGCTGCACCGGCAAGTGCGCTCTACTCGTTATCCTAGCGTCACTTTCCTCTCTCATTATACTCTTACACGTCTGCTAACATGAATTTGCATACTTGATAGTGTTGTTTGTTGTTATGCTTGTTTTTTTTATATACTAGTAGTCGAGTTGCCGCTCATATTTAAAGACATTTTCTTTGAAAATGCATGCTCTTAGCTTGAAATTTTATTCAAAGGCTTTAGTTGGAAAGAGCGTAAGAGTTTTGTTGCAAATTAATGGAAAACCGTTGGCAGTTACGTTAATTCAATTAATAGGCAAGCATATTCATAACTAAAGGAGTTATGTAATACAATTTTTCTAAAGAACAAAAGTAGTAATACTCTAGAGCAGGTGGTGGTCTCTGGTGCCAGGTCCGAACTATAAAGTGAATGGAGAAGAAACTCCCAACAAAGCTCATAGATACTCTACCGACCAGTAACGGTTTTTGTGGCATGGCGTTATCCAGATGGAACACAATTCCTCTGCTACTGGCAAAAGCTGGCCGACTGTTTCTTTAGACAGCCGATTAATTGACACGACAGGTCAAAATGAAAAGTCTGGCTATTGGCTGTGGGACAGCAGCAGCAGCATATAGTTCCCGGTCGATACCACTAAATATATATATTGCTTGCATACCACTCTGAACTTAATTTTGAAAAATTTAATTTTCATCACTCTACTACTCTTTATTTTCGGTGTCATACGGGTAAATCCTGTCACGTTGAATAGACGTGCTTTGAAGCACAACTGCCGTTTTTTAACATTTCTATCGACTAATCTTGAATGTATGCTGGTTCTACTAATACTTATAGTTATCTTAACATCACGATTTTGGAATATCAGTGAGGACGCAGGATCAATAGTTTCCGAAACAACAACTGATTTTGAACGATCTTCACGGAATTCGGATTTCACTGATCTACGACCTCGTTGTGATTCCATGAACACAGATGCTCGATGGAACTTCATCGCAGTAAGTTAATCTATGCACTCTTGATGAGTTAATCCACTTCGAAAGTTGTGACAAATAATCCATTTTTTGCCCGAAATGAGCATTTTAAGTTACTGTAAATAACACAAATCAAAACATACTGAGTATGTATAACATCACAAATAGAGGAGCCTTAAATGGCCTGTCCCTCCCACGAAGTAATACCTAATCGGTGGTGCCGTGGGAGAGCCTTGAGTTGGGAGTAGGTTAGGTTTAGCGGATTAAAGTTCCGCACTTCGGCTTTCAATGCTTCCCCCTACTATAAAAAAAAGTATGTATAACATCAAAAGTGTCAAACCTTATGATCAAGCTGTGAGTTGCCAGACTTCGTACCTTAGTGTTGCAAATGCCGAAGTATAAAAGGCAATCTACGTACTTCTTCGAGGCTAAGGTAGTTATTAGATTTAGTATTTTTTCTGATTTCCTATGTGTGTATGTCAAAAAATTAACCACAAGCTATACTATATATTGAGCATTAACCTTAATGCTGGTTAGTTGCGCTAAAAGTCGATCATGTTGAATTTTTGGAGTACCCTAACCAAATGCCTGAAAGCAATCACAAGCTCTTAGAGCAATGCGAACTGAAGAACAACACTCTCTTGAGCTGAAAGCTGAAATATGAGTGTATTTCAGGAAGTACTCGGTATCATATCCATTCTTAAAGTACTTGAAGTAACTGACTCTGCAGAAAATACTCATAAACAAAAAGGGTTCTTTCATTACCATATGAAAAAAAAACTAAAATTTTATGGTCTTAGACTAGAATCATACTTTGATTTTTAGTTTAAGCTAAATATAAAGATAAATAAAAAATTTAAACCGGTACCACTACTAGACTCACAGATAAAAAAGATATCAACCGAACCTGTCACTTTTGCTTAAAAAACCATAACTTTAAACTATATGTAAATAAAATGAAATATTCCATGAATTTTAATTTACATACTTTAATTTTTTTCCTTTTCATTTAAATTTTTTCTCCATTTGCAATTTTTTTTTTTAAAAATTTTTTTTTTTTGTTAACCTAACCTTCAATTGTCAAATCAGCCACTTCAATTTAATTGAGAGCAGAGGCCAGCACACACAATGGCGCAAATGAGCAATTGTTTGAGCAAATATTTAATTTTCCAATAAATGGATTATTTTTTTCGTAGAAAATTTATTATAATTTCAATATAAACTTTTATTTAAGGAATTAATAAACAGCTGCTATTATCTTTTGGAGAATTTCGGCACAAAAAGTGAGAACAATAAATTAAATTTAACGCGCAGCCACAACAGAATGTGAATATGCATTGAAGAACAACAGCAAAAAATACATTATTAATGCAAAAACTATTTTTTTGTTGTAAAGTTAAGAAAAAATTATTTCAAGTGTAGGTGTATGTGTGCTTCAATGCAGCGGAAATGAGCAAAACCGTAGCAGAACGTGTCGAGTGTAGTAACGGTAAAATCAAGAGCAGCAAAAAATATATATTAAATATGTATATTTTTTAAATGCGCACTAATTACGCGCAAAAGCAACAACAGACACAGACTGAAAAATTAATGGGCAAATATTTATTCATATGCCACTTAAGCAAACATAAAATTAAGCGCGGAGCGATATGTGCGTCAAGTGGCCCAGTAGGAAAAAATTGCAATGTTTTTTTACTTTTTTTTATACATATTTTTTTTTAAACGGAAAAAATTTCGTCATAGTTGATTAAGGAAAAAAATTAGCTATTTTTTAATAATTTTTCTTTTTTATGACATTTTTTTATCGAAAGAGTAATTGTAATATTGGATTAAGGAATTATACGTTTTGAAGTTTTGCAAACGTCCTTTTCTCTACAAGAAGCTGTTCATTTGTCGGAAATGCCGATATCGAACCACTATAACATATAGCTGCCATACAAACTGAACGATCGGAAGCAAGTTCTTGTATGGAAAACTTTCGCATTTGACAAGATATATTCACGAAATTTGGTACAGATTATTTTCCAAAGCACCAATGTAATCTCCGATGAAATTGTCGGTTAACTATAGCATATAGCTGCCATACAAACTGAATGGTCGGAATCAAGGGTTTGTATGGAAAACTTTCGCGTTTGATGTGGTATCTTCACGAAATTTGACATGGATTACTACTTAAGGTAAAAAATGGCAAAAAAAAAAAAAAACAACAAAAAGACGTTTAATTCATTTAGGGTATAATAATTTAAATGTACAGAAGTTTATGTAATAATAACCGGGTATACATTTAAAAAAATTTTATTTTCTTAACTCCGTAGCCAATCTCAAGTGGCACCTCCGAAAAAAGGTCTCTAAAGGTTGGGAAAAATTTTCTGTTTAAAATTCTCCCAAACAATAATCTCAAATCCAGAAAAAATATTAACCTATAGATGGAATGTTCGAAAGAATGCAAAAAAAGTATACACCCTAAATGGAAAGATGACAAAAATTTGCATTTTTGACAAAATGGTAACTTTTCAAAAAATCGTTTTTTTATGAAGAAATTTTCGTATGTTAAACACACATATATTAACATCGAAATAATTATCAAAAATCATATTTTGGTTTTGGCATGTAAAAAATATATCTAAAGAGTTCGTGTGAAATTTTCAACTCGATCAGTCCAGCAGTTTCAAAGAAATTTCTCTCATCGACTCTGAAAACAGATTTCGAGAGAAACTCGTTTAAATTTTGAGAGCCGATTGCACCAAGCTCAGAAGTTATTACTAACTCATATCTTCGAGGCTATTTGCCAGATCAACAATTTTCGGAGAATGTTCTCAAATACACCAACATCGAAATATGTGAGAAAACAACGATTTTTTTTTTTAATTCATAAGTTGATGTCATAATAAAAATTAATAAATAAATTTTTAGGTAAAGAAAATTTCCAGTCAATGGTGCTCGATACGCCATTATTCTGCTCAATCTCAAGCGCTGTTCTCTCTCAAACTTAATGCTCTGCTCTCTTGACATTCAACAAAAGAGCATATCGTCACCTAAAATGCAAAAGAACGTACCATCAAAAAAATCTAAATTTATTTGCTTACGATTCACTAAATCATATGTATAATATATATCATATATAGCGAATATATAACTAATGCATAGCCAATATATAACCATTTCATAACCAAAAGTCTAATTTTTGGTTAAATATAAGTGGTTTCTATTATATGGTTTTCCCTACATCTGTGAATTTATAAACTTATGAAAAGTGATGTTATGTTACTTAGCATTTTCGGTGACGATATGTCGATATTATCTCATCTCTTCTTTACTATGAAAGCGTAGTTATTCGAATTATAAAGATAAATTATATCAACTGCTTGTTCGATTTATCAAATTTAACATATCAAAAAAATCCTAATACATGAGTATATCCTCCAAAAATAATCCATATTTACTCAACCACCAAACTTTCCTTTTGGGTCACCTCGGAAACGCCGATTTTTTTCGTGGTTTCATGTATTCGACATGCACTTATTTACACAGGGCGTGTGCAATGCAGCAAATAATTAAATTGGAAACCACAAATATGCATAAATTAATATGAGAAACCGCATTCATTTAAAATGCAAATGAGTACTCAAACCAATAGGCTTTCATGCTTTACACGAATACATATATATGTGAAATATGGGTTTGCCGCGGTGAAAAGCTATTTAAATTAAATGAAAATATACGTACGTGCATATATTGTCATATCATGGCTGCATAAATGCATTTTCCTGCAGTGCTTCGAGAAAAAGTTTTGACCACTATTTAATTTGTATTCGCTTACGCTTTTGAATTTATTTAAACCTCATTCAATGCTATCAGTGAAGTTGGACTGTGGTTCAAAAATTTAAATCCCTTTCATGCCTTATTCAGGATTACTTCTTATACATATACTATAAGCACCTTATATATTATATTTTTATATACATCTGCGAAAACAGTTTTACGTTTGAGCCAATCATAAAACCAACTCGGTTAACCTATCTGTCCTCCAAACAATCTTCGCTCAAAGTATTTATTATCAAAAAGTTACTTCCTTTCAAGATCGATTTCAAAATCCGATATCTGAAATCATTAAAATTACGAACTGTAGACCCGTTCAAAGTCCAGCTTCAAGCTTCCTAGCTATCGCAGAGTTTTTTTAAGATAAGGTTGCTGCTTTTAAGTTAGCGGTAGACTTACTGCTTCGGATAATACTGAGATTAAAGTTAGTTATGGAACGCGTAATTTCAATATCAATGACATCAAGTCACTTAACTGGTACAGTTTACAATCCACATCGGAATGGCAGGTAACTGCAAACCCGATAACCTGGCAATAAAATAAATCCTGGTAGAATGGAAACGGCTTGGTGTCTCGATCTATTCGTGCGTTTTATTACTAGATAACTGAGTTTCGCATGATCTTGGCTGGGAATGGGCTACAATGAGTTTATGACCTAACGTAATTAAGTGGATCGCAAGAGGTCCGGCAAGCACTTCGTCTTCAGTGAATCTATCCTTTCCTTAGTGGTGCTCGTGTTAACTGATCATTGTCTTGTCGGTGTCCACAAGGTAAGGTTGAAAACCAAGATGTTTGGAAGAAGACCATGCGGAAATATTGGGTTGGAAACCTCTTTAGAGATGTTTGGAATAAGACCATGTAGAAATATTTCAGCATTTTCTACTTGACTGTCACACCTTTGTGAGATCAGGATGTAAACACTTCGTAGTTCACACTTTCATGCTTCTCCCTGAGCTGGTGGAAATATAATTGAAATATTTAAACAGATTTGTAATAAAGTCAAAGTGTTTTGCCAACTCATAGGAGCTGATAACAGGAGTGCTATTTAACGTTTTCACAAAAGACTGTATATATGTTATACTCCAAGTGCGATTTCAGCCATTGAACCTAACCTAAATAAGTCTAACGAGTATTATCTACACTTAGAACAGTATCCTGCAACATAATCGAGTATATCTCGCTTTATTGCTCTCCAGTAAAAGTTTTTTTTCCGCACTGTAGTTCGAATTGTGCTAAGAATCTTTTAATCTGGATCTATGTATATATATATATATTTTTTTTTTTTTTTTTGAAACTCATTGGTATGTATACAATTTTTGATAAGCTTCACTTAGTTTACTCTTTGGTTAGCTTTAGTTCTAAATGCTGTTTAGATTAGTTGGTAGAACCGTCCAAGATATCATGGTATTATACATGGGGACTCCCACAATTTTAAAAGATTTTCAAAATTACTATTACTTTTAGCTGACTTTAGTGCTAGTTTTTGTTTAAACTGTTCCCCCATCTTATCAAGTAATTAGGTAGGAGTGGAACTTCCCCTGTATTCACAGCGAAAGAGGCTAAACCGTTTCCTTAATCCCTGCTTTTTGGCAGCTGCGCCAAAAGTTGTTATCTATTTTGAGCGGAAATTCTCCAAATTACTGATCCCCCGAAGCTGTACTTCTATATATATTTTTCCTAAACTTATTTAATAAGTTCTTAATTTTTGTTCTGTCATACTTAGGCTTTACCTGCTTCGTTATTTTGCATTTGGTGATAGATCTCCATCTGCTCTGAACTAATCATACAAATTGTGTACAAAGCTCTCTTGATGTTTGCTAACGTTCCTGCAATTAACTCAGAATTATTCTAGATAAGCTCCTTACATAGCCAACCCGTCTGTTTTTTCGTTTACTAAAGTGTTTCTGCAAGCAATGGCGCGTGACTGTGTATACGATTGGTTTCAGTATCGTCAAATAGTTTATGAATATAGCTTCACAGGCTTCCTCTATACATAGTAATTCGGTCTGGAGAATGCCCACTGAATTTGGTAGAAAAACAGAGAGAGAGAGAGAGAGAGAGAGAGAGAGAGAGAGAAAGGGATGTCATGAACCTTGGATTATCCCGCCTCCTCTTACTCCACAGTTCATATCAGATCCGTCGTTATGGATTGGGATAGTATCCTTCTCACCTGTTAACCCTCTCCTACATTCACCTCTAGAGGCTATAAGTACTTGGAGTTAACTATTGAAATTCAATCCAAAACTTGAAAGATGTATGTAAGTAATATAATTTGTTTAAAGTTAGTTAAAAATATCGCTATGTTGATGGCTCCTTCGGTTTCAACTGCCTTCATTATTATTTGTTATAGTACTTAGAATATGCTGCTACTTTTGGAATGAAAACTTCTTTACTGTTTCCACTCCACTAGTTTCTTAATTAGCTCTATCTACAAGAACTGCCCTGAGATCACTTAGGCAATTTTAATAAATAGTTTCATACGGTGAAAACTTATTTTTCGGAGACCTGGGTGTACGGCGTATTACGCCGTCGGATCAATACTTTACCGAAAACTGATTTTTTTTGGATGCCTCGTATAATACTCGTGAAATATGCTGCACCTTAAGTGCAATACTAATTAGAATTTAAAATTTAATCACTTCTAAAGTTAATTTCACTATTCTCACCAACACTTCACTTCTCTCACTCGCTGCTGTCAATAACAACAAAAAAAAAAATATATTAATGCCAACTGAGGCCTGTCAACCAACTGACAGCTGTATGACAGCAACTACGAAGCGCACATCAATCAGGCCAACAACGTATCATCTGTTTGACGGCGCCACGAGCCAACGATAGCGACCAACACGCAGATAACTTGAGCGTCAGAGCATGAAATGAGACGACACAGACATGCGAATGTAAATTTGGTTGACAGCAGCAACATTACTTTGTACCGTTATCCCTCCATATTCACCTATCTACCTTTACATTTATGCCGGCGCACCATAGAAAGAGCCTCGGGCGACTACAGACAGTTCAAGCTTCCTTAGAATTCTGACCCCTTACTGTTGCACACAAAAGCCATCATTTAAATGTGTCTTTGTCTCTTCTCTACTTGCAGGTAAAGCATTATAACTGTTAATATAGAGCAAAGGTAGTAGAAGCAGCAGCCGCTACAATAACAACAACAAGCACAGCAAATAAGGCACGCACACATCTTGACTGCCAGACCTCTGCCCTCACGCACTTCATCATCGCGCAGCACCGTGCACCCATACACCCAGCAAAGCACACACGCCCGAGTACGCGAGCACTTTATTGAGCACACAATGCGAAGTTGCCATTTAATTGCGCTGTCGATTGGCGTTTGTGTGGCAGCACTGGCGCTAATACCAGCCAGCGTGTGCGCCACGACAGAGGTGCAGGAGACGCCATTGGCGTTGCCCGTCGCCGAACAGACACAGCCGACCACGGCTACACCGGGCGAAATTTGGGAGGAAGACGATCATGAGATTTTGATACGTAACGAACGCGGCACAAAGAGCGATGGTGAGTTCACTGCAAAAAAGCACTCAATTTAATCACAATTTTTATGTTTTAAAGAAGGAATTTCAGTGGGGATCCATTTAGTTAACTGTTTCCATAATTTTTATAGCAATAACAATTTTCGTTATAATTCACAAAAATTCAGATAGAATAAGTAATTTTAGATAGAATATATAAAGGTAAGGTTAGCTTGAGAGATCAATCCTAACAGGAATACAACTTGGACTCCAATCAAAGATGGTCTTGTTGTTCTGTCAAGGAGCATGCTCACAACAAAGAATCTATTTATTTATACGGATATACAATCGGCGTTGAAGACACTCAAGCCTCCTAGGGTTTCATCAAAGTAAGTGAAATAATGTCTTGATCTCTTAGGGGATCTCTTAGTGGGTCATACTGTATTTCACGATAAATCTACACTGGGTTCCAGTGCAAACAGGCACCACCTAACGACTGCCTCTGGACACTATTGTAAAAGGTGTCAGAAATTAGAAGAAGAAGAGACAGAAAGATAATCGGAGCTCTCGGCCGACGGTTTCTGAACGATGTTTCAAAGTTTGCAGAAATGAAACTTCATGTGCTGATGAGCTACATTAGAAGCACGGTGTGGTTCAGAGAAGAGACAATGGAGTGAGAGAGTATTAGTTTCGATGGTATCAGAATGGACGGCTACTCTACCTAGCTACCTAAAAATGCCACACTTGCTAGCTCTTTGCCTTTACAGTTACCAACGATTTCACTATGACTCACTTACTCACCCAAAAGAGTCTGATAATGAAGTAGCTATTATGAGAACAGGAACTACACTTACCGGACTAACTTTAGGTGCACAGTAAGCAGCTCAACGCTAGTATTGCCACTCTACCGTCGGAGTGAATGCTCACCTTTCTGAAAGAGGCAGCACTTTGGAGCTACCCTAATGACAGCCATTTCTGCCTAAAGCTATGCTTGACGGAGAGCTACTTGCTGACGACTTTTCTTCAATCTCTGCTCCTAGCTTCAACGCATTCGTGAAGAAGCTCTCATTTCTTCTTCTAGAGCGACTTCTCATCGTCCATATTTCTCTCGTCGCTACGTGAGCACAAAAAATGTCTTGACCATTGAAAGAGACAAGCTGATTAGGAATGAGGAATCAGAACGCGTATGGATAAATGTTTGGCGTTATCTCAAATATATTTTGAAAAACATTAATTAATATTAAGGAATATATAGGTTTGCAGTGTTATCGTCGTGTCGACAGACAGACAGACAACTAAGACAATTTCTGTCGATAATATTTATATATTAATGAATGGTCTGAAACTGATAGAAAAAAAATCCGCATATGCTCTACAGGGTGATCAAGTTCAGAGCTTAGAAAGTTAGACAATCTGTTACGCCATATGACAGAAAATTCATATGGGTCAGACGAAATTTTTAGTAATTCAGGACAGGTTCGTTCAGGCATTGGCCAACGGCAGATACCAAACCTTTGCCTGACTTCATGTTGGGCTCAGCTTCGGAACAATTAACCTTCACATTAAAACAGAGCTCCCATCTGGGCACAGTCCTAATATAATCGCACGAGAAACCTCATCTTTTCAAGTTTATTAATTTTACTGTTCGCAGATATTCGCTACTCTACTATGGTAGTACGCTCGATAAAACCTTACATGGGATGTTGAGGAGGCTTATCTCGTGGTAGTTGGCGCAGATTGTAAAGTTTCCCTTTTTATGGACTAAGCAGAGCACACTTAATTTCCTTTAGTTCAACCGTATCCTACAAAAAAGCTGAAAGAAAGAGCAAGCCCTTATCAGTTTGTCGCCGTCGTGTTTGAATAGCTTGACCGGCAATCCGTCGGCCTTCGCCGCTCTCTTGTTCTTCAAACGGTGAATTGCTTTTCGAACTTTTTCAGGGTCGCGCAATGGATCGTCTGCTCCATCGTTATCAATTGGGCCCAGCTGTTCTTGGGCCTTCCGCTCGCACTAATCTTTATATATGTATATTCGTAACCGAAATGGACAAACATTCAATTCATTCGGTCAAATATTGTCAACTCACAATCTTTTCCCGAACATGTTTGCTATAACTACGATTGCCGTCAAACGGAAACCCTTCTCTTAAAATAATTCGTTTAATTTAATTAAGAAGGAAATCTTACTGTAGTTCAAAACTCATCGCAGCATTTATCAAGTACGTCTATTATAATGGAAGTGCTAACCGAATCTTCGGCATACATACATATGTAAATACATATCCGAAAGCCATTAATATATTGATTACTCCAGCCCTAATGTCCTTCCACCAAACACAACGATCTACTTATTGCAACAGATTTTATTGAAATCAACTTTTAGGCGTAGTGGCTTATATTCTTAAATTCGTCCCGTCTCCGTTTTTAAGCACCACTTTATTTGTACCGAAAATAATACCGTTATTTTCGCACTTACCGCTACTTCCTCTAATCTCTCTGTTTAAATGTGGAAGATTGATTATAACGATGTGACGTCGCTAATAACAGAAAGTCTCTACGGTCTCCTAACTTCTCTGACCACTGAGTTAAGCGACATCATTATATCGACAAACTCTACCTCCGCGCTCTCGTTTTTTATTTTTTCTTTAATTCCCTCTCCGTTTTGGTAGAATTTGCGCACTGACGACACTCAAATTGTAATTTGATTAATCGCGCTTATTTTACTGGCTGTCAGTTGTCGTTTTAATTACAAATTAATTTAATTGAGATTTTTTTCTTTTTTTTTTGCTGGTATTACTCAATGGTTTTACGATTATTAGCTTACGTGTTTAAATTGCGTTCGCCTCCAATTCGTTTGTGTGAAATGCTTAACGACCTAACATAACAATTCCATTATGTAATTACGATGAATATTCCATTTTAATTTTATGAACTTCAAGCGGGAGAGCACAGCGCTGTTTTGATTTTAATGAATTTTTGGTAGATGTGGTGCTAATCTATGCCAAGTCGCTAAAATTGATTTGATAGCAAAGTTTCAAGAAAAAAGTTTTGACATGCGACTGTGTAGTAGCTCCTTCAATGGTTGGAAAGTGAATCTAAACTACTCTCTCAGTATAGAAATCCAAAAGGAAAAAATAATAATTTTGAACTTTACCAAACGCGGGTTTGATTTCAAGCTAAAAATTTATTACAGACCAATGTTTTGGGGACTTAGTGTCAACTTGTCGCAATTTGAGGAGTTCTTACTGAGTATTGTCCAATAAACATTCATGCTATAAGGCTAAAAATTCCGTCGTTCGCAAGTGATCGAAATTGTATGGTGAAAACTGAGGCAGATACAGCCAGACGCTTTTATGTCCATTGTCCAGTTTTGCAAGACTGTGGTTTAAACATCTCGGCAGTCATACCTCCGGTGAATCAGGTAACATAAGTGAAACTGGCAAATTCTATGAAAGCAAAATCCACTTTCTTTTAATGTTTGTAGGAAATGAAATTATTCATCAATATTTATTTTGTCTCCTTCAAAGCAATCGCCATTAGATGTAATACACTTATACCAACGATTTATTCAGTCTTCGAAATACTTTAATTTTCATTCAGATTTTAGATGACATTCAGCTCTTTCAGCGAAATTTGTTTTAGCTCTTCAATCGACTGAAAGTGGGTTCCACGGAGCGGCAATTTCATCAATTTCAATTTCAAATCACACGGAGCCCAATCTGATGATTATGGTGTATTATCATCGTGTAAAATCGATGAATTCCGGCCGTTTTGGACGGATGTTCTCACGTAAAGACGGCCTCAATACGTTTTGATTTTTAAGCGGCTTTGGCATTGTTAATTTGGTTTCGACTCGTTTTTTCAATCCATTCCGATTATTGTTGACTTGTTTGCATATTAAACTCATAAACTTATGTCCCACCGGCAGTATTAATGCTCTCCATGAATGTGGATTCGAAATTTGCACGATCAAGCATGGCTAAAGAGACATGTTTACGGGACGAGTCGAGTAAGAACGCATTTCATACCCAAATTATTCGCCAAAATCATTGGAACGGACAAGTCAGTGATGTCGATCTCTCTTAACATCTCTTTAAAACTTGCCTGACGATTTAGAGGCGTCATATCCTTCACTTTTTTAATATTTCCATCAGTTGAAGTTACTTTATCAGAGTAAGACTTGGCGACAAATAATTTAGGCGATTTACCCGATTCCTAGCAGTGTATCTTGCTAGAACGTGTTGTTATGGAATTCTCAACATCTTTGACATCTTCAACTATACAGGGCTTTGCCACTCTACTCGAGGTTCCATGATTCCGAGTTTACATATGTATCTCGTCATACCCGACATGGCATCAAAAAGCGAACGTTTTTCTTTCGTTATAGTTTCCAGAAAACTGAACTTTCGACTCTTTCCCGGGTTAGTCTTGCATTCTTGCGCCGGATTCATAGCAGTCGTTGTGTATGTTTATTGTTATAGCCATCCGATTGCTACGACCCTCAGCTCACTGAAATGAACTACCGCGCTCAATGTAACAATGTTGAATGGAATGTTTCGGCACGATAGAGCTACACAAAGCGGTACTGCTTCGGTTACTTACCAAGGCAACACGTTGTTGCAAACACTCCGTTCTTATTGAACCGAACTTTCTTCCTGACTGCATATCATCAAACTGAGACATGAGTAGCATAACACTTTGGATTAGGAGTTGAAAGTTCTTGGTCTTCGTACACAAGCATCTTCTTGAATTCAGTTTGAGAAGTACTTTGTAGAACCACTCACATCCGTTGGGAAACCTCGCGTTTTGAATTTGCGAACTATTCAGTTTCTTAGCGAAAACTCTCGTTGCGTGTTTCAACAAAAGTCAATAACAAGCAAGCTAGAATATTACGGAGCCTTATTATGGTGAAACGCCATGAACTTTCTGACCATAAATCCGGTCACTTTCGACGATTTGCTTAAGGCAGATGCTTCGAAATGGCCAAGTAGTATTCTTTATTGACCGTTTTATGCCGTAGAATAAATTCACGGAAGAAAATGATGAGCGTCACTTTGATTATTGACAGATTTTGTCGAAGTTCTTTCGATTTCGGTGCTGAATGTAGAGTGTGCAGCTACGTTATCAGTGGTCTCTAGACTTCTACTCGACGCTGTTTTTACAAAAGTTTCAGGTATTTTAGTTCGCGCCTATCTTGGACGCGGTTTATACCCAAGACTTTAAGCAAAATGTGTTGAGTCGATCCAAAAGCGATGTCCTGTATTACCTCTCTGAAGCCAACACGACGATTTTCAAGCACGGTTTTCTAACTCTTCCAATGTTACTGTACTTAACAGAGTTGGAAGGCTGATTCGGATGAAGCGTTCGTGATAAAGCTGACTTTATAAAACACTTACGGAACAATTTCAACAAGAAATAAAAAATCAATTATAATGATGTGTTCAATAAAAAGTAATGTCTATATACAATTTTGTCTTTTGCGAAAAAATTTATTTAAGAATAACGGTTTATTATGCACTGAATTTTTAAAAAAATTTACCGCAATAAATTTTTATATGCTCATTTACAGGTCTCTCCTGTCGTTATGGCAAAAATCCATGGACTGAATGCGACCAGAAAACCAACACACGCTCACGAACGTTGACATTGAAGAAGGGCGATCCGGCATGCGATCAAACGCGAACCATACAAAAGAAATGCAAAAAAGGTAAGCGAAATGGAGCAAATCAAAAATTTATAACAAAAACAATATGGATTTTAAAAATGTACCATGGAAATTGCGCTTGCATATTAAAATTGGTCAGATTAACATCGTTTACGCCTAAATGTAGGCAATAACTTTTGGCAAATGGTTTTCGGCACTTTGCAGTGCAATTTCACAAATGCGATCAGCAACACCAAAAAGCAAAGCGCAAAAAAACCCAAACACATTGAAATGCGAACATAAAAACACAGGCGCACACACATACATATGCACACACAGAAGTTATCAGCCCGCAAGCTATTACTTGCAGCAACACACATAATTGCTGACTTTGTTGGCTCCGCTGACATTATTGCCACTGCAATTGCCATTTCCACTGCTTTTGTTTGTTTGTGCGAGAGAGAGAGAGAGAGAAAGAGAGAGAGAGTAAGCGCCTTGACGCCATCACCATTAACTTCTCGACAATCTGCACTGGCGAATTACCGACGTCACGACCATCATCATCATTATTGCGCCTCGCTGGCGCGTAATTACTTTTTATTATTCTCTGTGGCACAGCGTGCAAGTCAAGCTGATGCCTTAGCAAAAAGCAGAGTTCCAGCGTGATAGAGGTGCTGAGAGAGAGTTGGGTGGAGAGTGTAGGCGAGAGCGCGTGAAGGATAGAGTGACCAGTTATCATGAAACTGTTGACGTGGAAATTAAGGAAGTCAAAATGTACTTTTGCGTGTTCGTGTTTGTTCTTCGATGCTTTGTTTTTTCGTGGATGTACTTGTAATAAAAATGGCAGCTACGCAGCTGTGTACCGTCAGCCGCATTTACGGCAAATGAGCAAATTTTGTGGATATTAATAGTTAATTCAGAATTGCAAATAATTGTAAGCTGGCTGGCTGAAAGCGTCAGGTACAATGTTACGATGAACAGGTTCTTGAAGAGAAGAGAAGAATATAAAGTTATTGAGGTATGCACTGCGACCTGTGGCCTGTTAAGCACTCTCCTCTTTCATAATAATTCACTTATAAATTAACGGATCTTGCTTGTTAGATGGAGAATCGATGTATTTCCTGCAAGGATACAAAGATCTCAAGGTCTTATTTCTGCGCCTGGCTCAATGTCACAGAATATACACATTACAGATGAGACTAAACAGCTACTATATGGAGAGCTCTTGAGCCTGCGATGACTGGTGTACTCTGAGACGAGGAGCCTGAATTCTTTTGGAGGTCTATGATTTACTTGAACTTCTCGAGGTTCTATCCTTCAGTAACAGTTTTATATGGCGCAACCTTTTGCAGTCAATGCTTATCTTTCTCTGCTCTTCCCGTTTTTATACTCTCGCAACAAAGTTGCTAAAGAGAGTATTATAGTTTTGTTCACATAACGGTTGTTTGTAAGTCCTAAAACTAAAACAGTCAGATATAGGGTTATATCGACTATATACCAAAGTGATCAGGGTAGAGTTGAAATCCGGATGTCTGTCTGTCCGTCCGTCCATGCAAGCTGTAACTTGAGTAAAAATTGAGATATCATGATGAAACTTGATACACGTATTTCTTGGCTCCATAAGAAGGTTACATTCGAAGATGGGCAAAATCGGCCCACTGCGGCCCACAAAATGGCGGAAACCGAATACCTATAAAGTGTCATAACTAAGCCATAAATAAAGATATTAAAATGAAATTTGGCACAAAGGATTGCATTAGGGAGTGGCATATTTGGACGTAATTTTTTTGGAAAAGTGGGCGTGGCCCCGCCCCCTACTAACTTATGGACCCACTTATGGACCAAAAACCATATCTCAGGAAGTACTCAACCGATTTCCATCGGTTATATAATATTTTCTTAACACCCTGATGACATGTACCAAATATGGGTGAAATCGGTTCACAACCACGCCTAAAATCTCGATTATCACTATATCATGCGAGAGTATAAAATGTTCGTTGACACCCGAACTTAGCCCTTCCTTACTTGTTTCTCTTAAGGTATCGGAAACCAGTGCTCAGAAGAGTTTTGGTCTCAGCAGTATGGCGACCGTTGCTGATCGGTCAAATTCATCAACCACTTCATTCTCGGCTATACCTTTGTTTTCCGGTAAACCAATGAAGTGAAGTCGGTTACTTCAAAATGGCCTGTTAAGCCGTTCTACACACTCTTTAACCAATTGCGGTTTGATCTCGTAGAATCGATTTGATTGCCATTATTATCGGAAAAGTGTCCATAGGCAAAGAGACCTTAGTGCGAGAAATACCTATAACAACGCCCACCTTCGTTTCAGAGATATCAGTGTCCCAAAATAGTGACTTCTCTGAACTACACCGAGTGAATAAAAATTTCTCGGTGAAATTCGTCCTTTTGATGATACCGTCTCAGTGGGAGAACGACTAGTGGAGGAACTTATTCGTATAATTAGGTCAACAGTAAGCTTTTAGCTTCCAACAAACTTTTTGCTGGTTCAGTGATGAATGCCGTCCCTACATTACAGGTTTGTCATTCAGTATACCATATATTACTATCTGTCAAACTCGGAGATTTAAATACATAAGTTTTTTAGTTCATATAATTCTCAAATATCATACTTGTATTCAAAAGTTTCAGGCTATTCAGACCATTGATAAAACGCCTAGAGTCTTCCACAAATTTATTGATTCGACTAATATCAGTTTCAGTCATTGGTGACTACCAATGGGACAATATCCAATTAGGACATCCAATACTAAGACTATGTGAAAGTAGTAAGGACTGGCAGATCAATGAACCTTTTTGGTTCCACTCTGCGCCAGAAGGCTCTCCCACACGTGCTGGTTGCAAACCAACGATTGTAGAACTTGTGCGTGATCCATAGAGCCAACTACCGAATGGGAACCGAATTCTAATGGGATTTGGATAAGGGTGCCATTTCTAGTGCGCTCATCGGCTTTACAATTGCCGATAATTCTGCTGTTATCAGAAGCCCAGAGAGTTTAATATAGAGTCGGTCATCAGCAGTGAGTTCAAGGCCTTTATAAAAAGCTATGCTATCGTACATCTGCTGCTACCTTACTGGCTGCCACTTCTGCTTGAAAGACGCTACATTGGTCTGGGATTCGGATAAAAAAGTTAATTGATAGCTGCCCACTGAACACTCAATTTTTCCTTGAGCTTTGACAATCCGTGAAATAGCTCACTGCGACGACTCTTCTTCAGTATGCTCTCGGAGTAGGTTCTGCGGCCCCGTGGTGAAAGTTATCATGGATGCAGTCGTAGTGAAAGTAGATTTCAAATATGCCTCGGGATGGACCCTTAAAGTAACCAGTCTCTTAGAGTCTTATAGCTATGCACCTGCCGGCTACATTAGTGTCATCGTTCGTGGTGAACTACTGATGTCACTGAGAGGCGCTCGTTGAACACGTTCCAGCTGTTTAACGAATGTGGCTTCACTGAGCGCATTCCACTTGACAAATACGCCATAAAACAGTAGTGGCTTAACTCTGGTTTCATAAAGTCAAAGCTCAACTTTTGGTGAGAAATTCGATCGCTTTCCCATACCTTCTTTGCAACAATATAGAGGGGCTAATTCGTTCCTCACCTTTTCCTCAACATTATAGGAACTTGTGAGGTAGTAGTTTATCACGAATCACCCAAAGTCCAATGATGTGTACTTCTAATGTCGCAAAAAGACATTTGGAAGGGTTTTCAGCATTACCACAACAGTGGGACCTACATAACCGGAACGGACCCGGATTTTATCCGGCCAGGCACTGTCAACTTCAGCTTTTCAGCTTAGCGTGGAATTCTGCCCATTCGAAAGGTACCTCTTGTATTATCTAATATCCTCCTCTGTATCATAATTTCCTCTTTCGGGTTCCCAGAAGCGTTAATTTCAGTTTGGGGAACAGGAAAAAATTACACGGAGCCAAATCTGATGAGCACGATGGTTGATCCATGGTATTCATTTTTGGACTAAAAATCGGTCATCATCGTGACTCGATGCGACGGTGCATTATCATCGTGTAAAAGCCATATTTTGTTCCTCAACAATTCCGGCCGTTTTCGGCAGATGCTCTCACTCAAACGTCTCAATGCGGCCAAATAAGACTTCTTATTGACCTCCGGAACAAGCGCCTCCTACAACTTATCGCATAAGCCAATCTAAAACTTTAGAAGAGAGTTGGAAGGGAACACCTTGGGATAGATGGGGGCCCTTCAATTTGTGAATTGTGTTCAAGTTTGAAACTATTTCGACATACTTTAGAGAACTCGATGATTTTAAAAAATGTTCGCCTATCGGTTATATAAAATCTGAGCTAAACTAAGAAACAACTTCTATGCCAATAACAGAGGGTGAAATATGGAATCTCTGAAACCGAATATAAGTGGTCTGATGCTAAGCTAGTGGATAACATGAGATGGAGAATTACGTATACGCCATGTCATACTGCACTAATAAATTGTCCGGTTGCATTTAATCTCACTCAACTGAGATTATGAACTAATCATGTTTAGAAGCTTAGTCTAAAAACTTCCTTAGATTTTTTAGCTTCGAAATTCTTCGCAGTGGTCTTCGTGTTTCACTATATTTTGATAACAGCAAGTTAACCCCTTCAGCTTTACTCAGAGATATTAGAAAAACATATTATATAACATCACAGTTCCGCTCCTTTTTTATCAACACATATAAGACAGTAGTTAACTGTAACGCTCTTTGACAGCAGCGGAAATGTGACTCGAATCGAATGACAGCGCAGCGCGTCCAAGCATTTATGACGACAACAATCGGATATTAACGGATAATTGCGATGAACTCTGATCGCTTCCTATCACTTCACTTTGAAGACATAATGCGGCAAGAGCACAAAATAGCAACAACAACAACAGTAATAACAAATGATGCCAGCGAATACTTGTGCACAAAGCAATTTCGCAGCGCATTTTTTTACCGTTACACAGCAATTTTCTGACAATTTTTGCCTTTATTTTGCAGTCAGCAAATTTTCCGCTGACATGCGAACAAGCGTTTAGCCAAA